TGTGAATGAGCTGGAACTGGAGGTGGCACCGGCCACGGTCTGGGTAGGTCTCGGTGCAGGGCTCCAGACGGTACCACTGATCCTCCCGGCAGCGCAGGTCCTGGCGGCGGGGTCAGGAGATGCTCATGCCCACGAGTGGGGACAGGGAGGCGCCAGGAGGCAGACCTGGAACCCGCCCCTGATGCCCTCACTGACCCACTCCTGCCTCTCTCCCGCCTCCTCCCCGCCCCACTCACCTGGAGCCTCAGAACCACGTTCCCCAGAAAGTCGTCCTGGCCCTTGTCCTTGCGGGCATCCTTGAAGATCCTGTTCCAGGCAGGGTGCGTGAGGGAGACGGGCCCAGAGCCTGAGGGGCCAGGATGGCACCTGCCCCCCATGTGTGGCCACCGGGCCCAGCAACTGGTGTTGGGTGTTGGGAGCCCCCACTCCTTCCCGGGAGCCCGGCGGCACCCACCTTCGCAGCCCATGCAGGTCTGTGAGCTCCCCGAGCTTCTGCCGGACCGACTCCACCGTGTCCAGGTCCCTGGAGGCACAGGTTCGAGCTGGAGGTGGAGGGCCTCCTGGGAGCTCCTGACCCCGTGGGTTGGAGGCCGACACCTCGCCCCCCCGTGTCTCCCCACTCCACAGCAGGGCGTGCTCCTCACCACATGTCCAGGTGGAAGCTCGCGCTGTTTATGTCCTCAAACTCCCTGTCGGGAGAGGAGGACACGGGTGAGGGCCTCGGAGGGTAAACCCATCGTCCAGGCCACAGCTGCCCCTCCCCGGGAGCACCACCCACTGTGGACTTAGCTCCTTCCTGGCAACTCCACTCCCCCTCCCAACCGCATCCCTCCTCCTTTCAGCTAAGGCTCAGGCTACCCCAGATCAGCCCTGCAAGCTGACCTCTGCACCCCCCACCCCTCCAGCACACGGCCAGCCCTGTCTGTCCGCGCCGTCTGTCCGCCCCGTCTGTCTGCCGTCTGTCTGCTCTGTCTGTCTGCTCTGTCTGTCTGCCCCATCTGTCTGCCCTGTCTGTCTGCCGTCTGTCTGCTCTGTCTGTCTGCCCCATCTGTCTGCCCTGTCTGTCTGCTCTGTGTCCGCCCCGTCTGTCCGCCCTGCCTCAGGAGCAGGCTTCTCTTCCACACAAGCCAGGCCCCTCCCCAGGCCAGGAAGTCCTGCTGGTCTCGCTCCGGGGGACCCTCCCACCGGGACGGGCCACGTACAGAATGAAGGTCTCGTCCCAGACGGGGTTGAGCGTCTGGGCGATGACCTGGGTGCGGTGGGTCTGCTCCTCGGGGATGGTGTGCCTCACCACGGCCTTCGGCTGCCGCCGCCGCGACCCCGGGCTGCCCCCCGGCACGCCCACCCCCTGCTCGATGCCCAGCAGGCAGTAGGGGTCACTGAACCCTAGGGGGAGAGGCAGGAGGGTGTTGGCCGGGCTCTGGGGGGGCCCTTCATCACCCCCAC